GATTATCCACACTGGATTTCAATGTTGTTTGTTCTTCTATTAGATACAGGGCAGACTGTTTGCATTTGGGTCTTAGGTAGCTACTGTTGTACTAATAACTCACTTGGTGTTTTGTAGTTTCTTCTCGATCCATTTCAGATGTTGCTTAGCGGCAGCATAGTCTTCTGGACCTTCAGGTTCAAGCCTGTCATAGGTGTTCCCACACAAAACCACCGTGTCAATCATCAGAATCATGATGGAAGTGTTGCTGTGAGGAACTTTGAAGTTCAGCTCATAATAGAGGTCTGGGTAGATCCTGCCAAACATTAACAGCAGCTCACTCTGTGGTCATGAATGAATGCCCATGTTTACATTCTTTAATACACATACTCACTCACCATCTTTCAGATCTATTTGAGTAAGCGATCTGGGCTGATATGTTGCCACGGTGATCGTGATTTCCTGCTACCAGGTACCACGGCACGGCCATCAGCGCGGGGTGAGAGAACACACTCTCATAGGTAGACTAAAGAATAGATCTTCATTAAAACTCCAAAACATAATTTTAATATAAATAATAATAAATAATAAATAAATATTAAATATTACACATATATATTAACATGATTCAATTATGACTATTATACTATTACTAATATATTAATAATATCTTATATTAGTAAAATATGAATAAATGTGCATTATATAATTAGAACTTAAATATATGACTTATGTATATATATATATAAAGGTATTTTATGTAATTAGAACTTGAAAACAACATTTTAAACTATATTTAAAATTATAATTATTATTTTTTTAATTAATTATATATTTTATTAATGAACATACATTATGTAATTGAGTTATTTTACATAAAACTGACCATGGTTTTACTATGGTAACTGTGGCACAAATGTTACAGATTCATACAAAAGAATTCAAATAAAAGTACTATGGTATTTAATTTGGAATATCTTGTAAATACCATTGTACTTGAATTTGTATACCATGGTATTACCAAATGATACCATCACAGTAGTTTTTTGTAAGAGATGTAAATACTTATGGTATCATTAAGTATCATGGTACAAAATACATCAAAGCACTATGCATTACCATCTGGACCCTCAATGTAGCATGTTACTTTTTGTAATGTAATGTAATGTAAAAAAATAAAATAAAATGTAATTTAATGTGTTTAGGCTTTTAATAACAATTATCATAACTACATTGATCTAAATATGGGGATGAGGAGCCATCCTTGGTTTTACTTTTGATTACTACAAATGGAACAGGTAAACCATATAAATATACCATAAAATAAACTACTGTACCTTGGTACTTTTTATTTCATTTCATTATATTTTTTAATTTAATTTATTTATTTTATAAAAAAAGTATTTATTTAAAGGGGTCATATGATGCGATTTAAATTTTTCCTTT